GTGCTGAATAGAATAGAGATGCAGCTGCCTCTGGGGCAGGCACAGGAGACACGGGGCTGAACTGCAGCTGGCTCTGGGGTGGGACGTGTCAGCAGCCAAGTAGAACAGAGGCTGCCGGCTCTGGTGGGGAATCAGGGCTGGGGTGACAGGGACCTCCGGGTTCCTCTGGCTCGGGGGGCTCAAGGGGGTGGGGGACATACATGGTCTTCTTGAGGATGTCGGAGTGGATGCGGGCCACGCCGTTGACAGCGTGGGACCCCACGATGCAGAGATGCGCCATGTTGACGCGCTTCACGCTGCCTTCCTCCACCAGCGACATGCGCCGCAGCCGGTCCAGGTCCCCGGGGAAGGTGGTGTAGACCCGCTGGGGGGGCACAGTTGGGAAGGGAAGGTGGGGTCAGGGTGTCCCCAAACCCAGCCCAAACACCCCCCCTCTCCCAGCCCCCGCCCAGCTGGAGAGAACCCAGGGGCCCGAGCCCGGCCCCCACGTACGTCGAGGAAGCGCTGGTTGATCTCGTAGATGATCTCCAGGTGCCGCGGCAGGAGGGTCTCGAAGAGGTGGATGGGCCAGCGCTCCAGCGCCTCGGGCAGCACCGTGTGGTTGGTGTAGGCGCAGGTCCGCACCGTGACGTCCCAGGCCTGGGCAGAGGGAGGGACAGGCCAGGCTGGGGGGGTGGGCAGGGCTGCAGGGACGGGGCCGTCTCTGGGGGGTCAGGAGGGGATGTCCTGGGGCCAGGGGCTGCAGCTGGGTCTGGGGAGGGCAGGGCTAGTGTAACGGGGACAGGGGCTGCAGCTGCCTTGTGGGGTGGGGGGAGACTGGGTGCCCTGCACTCACCTTGTCCCACTCCAGCCGCTCGATGTCGACCAGCACACGCATGAGTTCGGGGATGGCCAGCGACGGGTGCGTGTCGTTGAGCTGGATGGCCACCTGCGGGCGTGGGTTTGAGTCATGCTACTGCCGGGGAGTGGGTGCCCCCAGACCTCCCTGTTGGGGCTGGGACCATCCGGAGCCCTCCCAACCCTCAGTCCTGCCCCTCAGCCCTCATGTCTCCCCCCACCCATACCCCTGTCCCTCAAGCGCCCCCTGCTGGCTGCTGGTGGGGGGTGGTTTACCTTGTCGGGGAAGGCGTCGAAGTTGGTGCGCACGGGATCGCGGCTGCCGAACTTGGAGGACTTGAAGCGGCGAATGATGTCCTGGAGGGTGGCAGCGACCACGAAGTACTCCTGCTTGAGCCGCAGCTCCTTGCCCTCGAAGAACTGGGCGCAGCCAGGGGAGGGGGAGGCGCTGAGCGGGGGGAGAACCAGGCGTCCGGGCTCCTGGCCCCCCGGCTCTCACCCCATGGCCCTCCCGGCGCTGGGGAGAACCCAGGCATAGGGCGCCCGTGGCAGGGTCTGGGGGACGCACTCACGTTGTCGTTGGGATACAGCACCCGGGAGATGTTCTCCGCCAGGTTCCGGTCCAGCACGGCCTGGATGTAGCCCCCAATGTTAACTGCACAGGACAGAAGGGGGTGTGAGGGGGGATGCGGCTGAGCCTGGGGGGCGTCGGGGCCGGGGATCCAGGTCTGAACTGCGGCTAGCTCTGGGGTGGGCTGTGCCAGCAGCTGAGTAGAAGAGAGGCAGCCGGTTCTGGGGTGGGGCAGGGGACACAAAGCCGAGCACTGGGGTGCAGCCGGCTCTGGGTTGTGGGGTGTCGGCGGCTGAGTAGAACAGAGATGCGGCTACTTCTGGGGTGGGGCCGTGGGGCTGCAATGAGGCTGGCTCTGGGGCGAGACTCACAATCCTTGAGGTTGAACTCGTTGGGGGCTCGGGCCGACCAGAGGCGCATCGTGTTCACCGTGTTGTTGCGGTACCCGGGGACCGGCGTGTCGTAGGGCAGCGCCAGCACCACCTGTGGTGGGAGGAGGGGGTTAGTCCCACCTCTTTGCCTCACCCCTCCCCGCCCCCCGCCATCCCATAATATCCCCAAGGCCGCACACTCACCCCCTTCCTGGGCACAAGGGCTTGCACATGCACACACAGCCATGTCCTGCGTGGGTAGAAGCACATGCGTGTGCGAAGAACCTGGCAGAGTCCCAGGTGTATCCACACACGAGCATGCAGACACACGCCCCGGGGCCATGTCCCCACACGCCCATGCCTCCTCAAGCCATGTTGCCTGTGTGTGCAAAACACACGCATGTACTGTTCCCTGAGGACCAACACACCGTGTGTGTGTGCATACACACACTCCCTGAGCAGTCCCATGTGTGTGCATATGCACGTGAAAACTGTCCCATGCTTGTGCCCACGTGTGTGCTCCTGATCCATGTCCCACATGTATATGTATGCACATGCATATACCCCCTAAACCATGTCCCATACCTACGCACACACGTGTGCATGTATGGACTGCTCTATACACATGCGCACAAGCTGTCTCACACATGTGCCCCCAGATTCATGGCCCAGCTGCATTCATATATGTGCAGACACTCGCACATGAATGCACCTGAGCCACGTCCTCTATGTGGGCACACAGGTGTGCGCCTGAGCTGTAGACCGTGCATACACACACACGTGCACCAGTGCACACACCTGCTCTGTGTCCCATGCCCATACACACCACTCTAGCCACGCCCCATACATAGACACATGTGTACCCCTGACCTGCCCCATACGCGTGCACTCATATACACACGTGTATCCCGACATCTCCCATACAGGCTCACACCCACATGCATGTATACCCCCCTAGCTGCTCCACGTGTTCACACACATACAGATGTGTATCCCGAGCTCCCCCACGCATGTTCACACCCACACATACCCCAAGCTCCCCCATGCATGTGCGCACACGTGCGTGTGCCCCCTCCCTGGCTCACCTGGGTGTCGACCCACTTGGTGCCGTCGGGGCTGTGCTCCACGTGCCCGTAGAAGTGCACAGGGATGGAGTACTCCGGCCGTGCCTTCTCCCACGGGTTCCCGTAGCGCAGCCAGTCATCAGCCTCCTCCACCTGTGGGGGGGGCAGTCACTGGGACCCCCCCAAAATCCCCTGGGCTCGGAGGGAGGGGGTAGGATACTCTGCCACCCCCCAACCATGACCCCTCCTCCCTCTCCCACCCTGGACATGCTCCCCTCCCCTCACAAGAAGTGCCTCTGCCCCCCAGGACTTGCCCCCCCACCCCC